TATTCTTCTCTATTATTCAATTAGGATAAAATATTTTTGTTAACCTTTTAATCTAAACTAATGACATCAGAAAGTTAAAGTAAAATTAAAATACTAAATTAATTATCATCTTTAAAATTCTACAAAAAAAAATCTGAATGTCCTTAAAAAATTAAAATATTAAACAAAATCAAAATAAAGAACACAATTAATAGAAATAATTTAAAACAACCTTGGGTTGTTTGCTGGTGCAGTGATATTCAAAGTAAAATACATGATTGAGATAATACAAACAAAATATACTAACTATTTACTACAAAGTAAATTAAGAAAAAAAAAAAAATTTTTTTTTATGTTTTTTTTTTAAAAAACATTTTTTCACTAAAATATTAATTTTTTTCAGTACCTTAGAAGACATGCAGGCAAGGCTGATAAACTAATATCTTTTTTTATTTTTATTTTCTCCTCCGTCTGGATGTTTTTGGCAAAACAATTTGCTAAATAAGAAAACAAAATTTTATTTTTTATTTTATTCTGCCCTCTTCTGAAAATCTTAAAAAAAATTAAAAAATAAGTATGTGAAACAAGGAATAAAAAAAAGTCTCGCCATGTAACTACACCACTGGCAAACTATGTCAAAGTCTTGGTCGCTTTCATAAATTAGTGTAGATTTCCTGTCCTTATCCATTAAAATATAAACCAGCATTTCTAATTTTCTTCTTACTTCCTGTACTAAACTCTTCTAGTGACCTATCCACGGTAGCATGTAGGAAATTTCTTGTCTATGACATCACAACCACTGGTGGATAACAGCTATCCACAAAGTTGCCTAACTTTATGAAAACTTTCTGCTGCATGAGGGCTCACTCTATTTTGTTTTTTGGTTTATAGAAATGTAAAAAGAAAAAAAAACTTTTCTGAAAAGCTACAGTAATTTCAAGCCTATATTCATACATTAATAATAGTTGAAAATCTAAACATGCTGAGTTCACCATCCTTGATTGGGTACAAACCAAAGATCTTATAAACACAAGATAGCGTTCTCCGCGATTTACGCGTAACAAATAGAAGCGTCGGTCAAGGTTCAAAAGTTTCCCATTTAGCAAGAGGGCGCCATTCATGCGCTATTACCGAAGAGAAAAAGTAATCAGTTTTGGAAGAGGGCGTCCTATTTGTTGCCATGGATTTGAGATGGTTCCTGTTTTGCTGTTCACAAGATTGATACCCTAAGGTAAAGTCGCGCGGTGTACTGTATGGTCAGAGCAGTCAAGGGTCAAAAGTTTCCAATTTAGCAAGAGGGCGCCATTCATGCCTTATTACAGAATTTGCACTCGTAAATCGCGGAGAACGCTATCTTGTGTTTATAAGATCTTTGGTACAAACCAAAACATGCCCTTCTTTAAATCTATATGTACTGAAAGTAGGTCTACTACTTCCTTGGTATATATGTATGCTTGTAATATTAGTATGTAAATATGTAGTATATGTAGTATTTACAGAGTAAATTAAATACATAATAAAAGAATCTATTTTTTTTTAATGGTTTTACAATTTCAATACCAGTACTATTTTTTTAAATGTTTTCTTTTTTTTTTTAATTGAAGTTGAGAATAGAAACATACTGTAGTAAAAATTAGAGTTCAAACAATTAGAGTGCGGTTTATATAAGTGAAAAATTATGGTCATACAATATTTTATTTTGTACACATCTACCCAAAATGATTAATAACAGAAAAAAAGTATTCAGCAAAATTATAAAAAAAATAAACACAAAACAGCAATGATTAAGAATATTTATTAATCATCAATATTACTTAAAGTCAGGTTTAATCTTCCAGTTAATGGAAGATTAGGTACATAGTTTCATAGTTTCTGTTTGTACAAATTTCTGTAATGGTTTCTAAACGGTTACATGTGGAACATATTACCGTAAGTACAATTTTCATTTCCTTTTGCTGGATGTAGACATTTTATCGGTCTACTAAAGAAAGAAAAAAGTTTCTTAATGGTAGGTCTACAAATTTGATATGATTTAAAGTACATAATTGAATTTGGCTTTGAAATGTTTAAAAATTTAGTATGTTTTCGATTGACGTTTGCAATAGGTTGACAAGTGCTCAACAGGTTCATTTAACATTAAATGATACAATATTATTAAACATCAAGAACAGCATCACATCGTGTGGGTGTGCGTGTGTGTGCGTATGCTGTATCACAAGGAACCTGCCTGTTTCTATTCAATTTGATCATTTATTCAAAATATTTAATTAAACATTTTAAAAATGTGATGTTCTGTATAAAACAGAATTTTTCTAGGGAAAATTACCTTTAAATTTCACAATGTAATAAAACAAACAATTCTACATGTTGATACTTTTGGATGTTTAGTTCATATGATTAATAACAAACTAACACTAACAACTAACAGGTATTAAACACATTTTATTAATTTCATTGTTGAGGTTACCAAGAGTTCACAAAATTTAAATGCTTACTGGCTCCTAAAAATTACCAAAAACCAGCTTTTATTGCGTTAAAAGTTCCTTACTAATTTATGCATGGAAAAAAGATACAAAGACAATAGTGTCTTTTGCTTGTAAAGAATCAGTTTTGAAATAATTCAAACTTGATGAATTCGCAAATATTTTCTAAATCAAACTCTGCCAAGATTCGACCCACAACTTCCTGCCCCAAGGACAGGTGCATAACCTACCTAATAACAACTCTGTTTCCTTTGTATTAAAATGTGATCTTTAACAGTTATATTACAAAGCTTTGAGCTTTGGATAATCTTAGATGTGGACAGAACATCTCCTAAACATGCACTTATCTACACAAAAATATGATTTTTGTGTTTTTACGTCATGTCATCCCCGGAAGCAATTGAAATAAATTCATATATTATGATTGGTTGTGATTATAGCGTGGGGACCAATCAAAAAGGAGAGAATTTAAAATTGTATAGTGTTCTATAAGTGAATCAATTTTATATAGGAGCTTGAACCAGCATGTAAAATTCTGCTCATTTTCTAGTGCTTTTCCAAAGACACAGATATAAATATAGATTATTAAAATTATTATTTGTAAATTGATATAAACTTATTAAAAAGCAATTAAATAAAAGTTAAAATATTTCTAAGAGCATGTTTGTTTTAAATATAGTACATAGAAACCTACTTATCTTGAATACAGGCAAAGAATATGGGAGTATTTAGGGTATATATTGATAATAAGTTTTTTAAAACAAACCATACCAAACACAGATTTCTTTTTGAATACAGTGTGGGAACCAGGCTAGTTATGTGGTGTCAGAGATAGCATGGCATGGTTACGAGCAACAGCATCGATGTTACCTCACAATACTCTCACTTTTTCTCACTTTTTCTCTGCATTTTATAAGTATGATTTAATGTATTTTGTTTCTGTATATATTGATGTATATTTTATGAAGACCACTATTTTAAAAATTGGTAATATGTTACAATGATATGTTTTCTTAATCCTGAATAATGATACTCGAAAGATAAACTCAAGCAAATTCAAGAAAAAATAGTATCACCAAGAACCAGTTAGTCATCTGCAATAAAACATTGAGTATTCTAGTCCCCGATTATTCAATTAAACATCAGGTAGTTCAACGACCAGACAAAACTAAACGAGCCATGACCCAAATTGGCAATACGTTGCTTCTATTAATAGCATCACCTGAAAACCGCCATCACGAAACATCCACATCTGCATGCCACGCTTACTCGTCAAAGACGTAGACTGTCAACTGGCGGAGGAAACCACTTAACTGCGTAATATAAATGATGCATCCCAGGAAAATTTATTCATTTATTTTCTTTTTATTTAGCTCATCATCAATTTTTTTTTTTTTTTAATAATGTTTTGCCTGCTTTACAAATGTTATACCTTCGTATTGTATATTCAGAAATTTGAATACAAGTAATCTAGTGTAAAATTGCAATGTAAACAGTTTAGTACTTAGACTGATAATTGTTTTATATTTATTTAATTTATGTGGTGTTTATTTAAATTTATTTTCTAACTTTTAAATCTTGTAATGTAATATTCTGTTTATATTTTATCATGTTACCAACAAGAATGTTTCTTGAATCTAGAATTTTGTAATTGTGATTAAGAAATATAGATTTTTTATCTGAAAATTGTATAGGAGGAGCAATAGTTATAATAAACATTTTAAAAAACCCCATTTTTTTAATTACTACTTATTTATCGTGGAAAGTGTGCTTACAGTTATTTTTTTTTTCCTGTTACAGCTACCAGCAGGCAGCAGGTTTTGCAAAGTATGATTTTAAAATATGTCTTGCCTAATGGTGATGATTAACCACCTAGCAAATCACCACACTGTCCATATTTTTTTCGCTTCTTTTTTATATAATTTTGCGTATATGTGGCAAAGACAAGCCAAACCAGTCACTCATCACAAATGGTGTTTCAGAGATAATGGCCAAAACATGCAGGAATATCAAAATTGTTGACATTTATTTTATGGCACTAACTAATCTTTATATATCTATAGATCAGGCTATGCTGTTATTTTCCCCTTCTTCAATGTTAAAACATCAACTGCTAACAATTTGGTGATGGTTTCTACCTGAGAAATGCCCAAAATCGTAAATTTTATATGCTGATTTCTATATTGTTCAGCTGTATGTTTGAACACTTGTAACTTCATAAGGAAATGTCGGATTTACATTATTCTTTGACCATTTTATAGCTCTCATTTTAATGTTTAACACTGTGTTAATAACCAAAAATCAATTTTTGCGACCATTGATTGGTTTGGCTTGTCTTTGCCACATATGATATATAAAGCAGCCATGCGAAACATGCGCTGTGCCAAATTGTTATTAAAATTAATGTTGCAAAAGCCATTGAACTTTCTGCGGAATCCCATATGAAATTTTATCGCACAAGATTTGAACGCTCCCAAATTACCTCCGATTCTTAGTGCTAAAACCATGTTATTATGGGATGCCATGATAGTGAGAAACTCATGCACAAGTTAACACAACAGGAAAAGAACAACTTGAAAAATAAACTCCAGAAAGTACAGGCATACTGGCCACCTGTTTAATACCTAACACATGTACGTTTGTACCACCTGGGATATGCTAATAGAAATTAATTACATAGGATATTAAGGCAATTTCACCTGAAGAAGTGCAATGTGTGTTAAATAAATTTATATACTTGTCTAAAGTGCGGGCTGTTTCGTTTACTAATGAATTTAAATTTTAATTACTAACACGTTAGCCACCAGCCACCATTGCACAATTTGTTCCTGTATGCCTCAAGCAAATTATAAAATATTTTGTAGGAAATTTAAACGTTGCACAAACATAAATTAGAAAAACAAAAAAAATACAATTTTCTAAGTGCTACCTGTTAAATATTCTATGCCACCATTTACCAAATTTGTCACAAATTACATCACAAAGGTATAATTATTTAAAAACACTTATGCTCCTGTTCTTATGTACTCAGCAATTTCAAAAATTGTATATAATTAGTTGTATAAAATGGATTGAAGTTAGCAGGGAAGATATTATTTGTGATATTTATATTATGGAGGATGTATAGATGCAACAGAACAAGTTTGATTTTATTTTTACTCAGACATGCCCATTCCTTGAGCTAAGCTTACCGTGGAAACCTACATCAATAAACCAAGTTAGAAGAAATTGACAACAGTGAAATTTGATGGATTTTATAATAATTTTATATGAAAAAAACCTGTCAGAGTGTCCATAAGCATCAACTGTTTACGTCATATATGTACCAACTTGTACTGTTTTTGTACCAATTTGTTCACACAACTCCGACTTCAACCGCAGAACTGTATACACTGCATATTTATTTCATTATCTATATTTTTATATATTTATTGTAACTCACCTTGTTTTTGTGCATTAATTTTTGTATGTATTTGATATATATTTAACTATTTTTTACTCTTATGTAACAAGGAAAACAAATCTCATGACATCATTATGACAATAAAGAATAACCTGAATCTGAACCTGTTACTTATTTTGCTATTGATAAATGTTATATTGTAAAATATGATACATTCATAGGAATCAATAACTTACAGATTTGTCTTCTGATCCAGTTGCAATGTACTTCCCACATGGACTAAAAGACAGCCCACAAGGATGAACTCGGTTCTGGTGTCCCTCAAATCTCTTCACACACCTAAAAAATACATTTAAATTTAATAAGGATTTATAAATTGATCATAGACACCATTAACTGATTATGCTGTCTTGTAGTACACCACTTCCTACCAGCTTTAAAAAAAAAATTGTTATCTATGCAATAATGAAGCTAAGTAAATTTTTTTTAATAGACAACAGAAACAAAAAGTTCAGAAAGTTGGCCAATGACAGAAAAGAATGCAAAAATAAGGGAGCCTAACAGATGAATCAGATGATTACTCCGCAAAGAAGCATACATTTTTATAGCACTCTAAGATTGCAACAGTTACCTATGAAAAAATATTTTCTAAAAAACGTAGATTTTGTTCTTAAATATTTATAAACTTCATATTAAAAAATTGATGCGATATTGAATGTTACAAATTCTGTAATAATAATTTTTAGTGAAAACTGGCTCATTTTTAGGATATGAGCTGAAGTAATAAGTTCGAAAAAGTCAATAGTATTAACTTGATTGTAGTAATGTAATGTAATAAGAAAAATAATATCCCATAATACATCTGGCCTCTTCCCACAATGCAGACAAGGTCAGACAGCATGGTAATGCATTAATCAACGGTTACAAAACCTAGGTTGAGGTACTCCATCTATCACCAAATTTCATGCAATCTGCTGCAAGGACTGTGTCAAATTTTGGATGCCAACATTGTACAAGACAGAGCGCTTGACAGATAAACAACTACGTCAAAAGATAAACGTACAAAAAAATACCATCGTCACGCACCATTGCCTGCGGCCAGTGTCATAATGGACAGAATATTTGGTTAGCAAGAATCTACACCTTGTGTCATTAACCTCACTGCAACTAACTTGTCAATTATTCTTTAAACTATTATTGAGGCACGGGATGGAAACTATCGTTAATAATTTAGAATTTTATAGAAGACTGTAGAACGGCATACAAAAGGCATCAGGCTTTCAATCGGAAGGTCTGAGGTTCGAGACCGATGCTCATCCGATGCTCATGCGCTTGTGTCCACGAGCAAGACACTTTATCTGCATTTGACTCTCTCCACCCAGGAGTATAAATGGGTACCTGGTAGGAGAACATGAATGTTTCGGAATGTAATTAGTAGTACCGATTGCATGCATAACTAGGAACACTCCCCAGAAAGGGGAGGAGGTTGCTCGTTGTGTATGATTAATTTTGTATCTAATGACCAGTTTTATGGATATGTGCGCCATATAAATCCTACAAAATAACTTGTGTGTGCATGCTTTGTATACATTTTGTCGAAAAAAGGGGATATTATTATTAACAAATTGTGTTTTCTTATTTTCTGTATTCCCTAGCAAATTGAATTCAAATGTACATTGATTGTTGTTTGCTGAATCAAAATGAATATTTGATTGATTGATACTTGGTTTTAAAATCACAGACGCATAGGCAGTAATGTTCAGACCCTCCCCCAACCCCCAACTGACGCCACCACATTGTGCAAAAGTTTAAATCAATTGACCTTGGCCATGGAACTTTATCTACAATCGGCGCTTGCACCCATGAGTATAAATGTTGAATGTATTTGTCACTTCTGAATTCCCAAGCATGTCTAGAAATTACTGTATTCCAGCGAGAATAGGAGTTCGCACATTTTTACACAATTATGTTCTGTTAATAATTACCATATTTTTTTGAAAGTTGAAAAAGTACTATTTGTTTTGTTGAGTATAGTATAATGTTTTTAGAAAGATATCAAATCTTTTCCGTACAATTTTTTATTGATTTTTTTTCCCTTTTTTTTTTTTGGGGGGGGGGGGGAGGTGTTTATTCGATGGAAGCATTTTATTTTGTCTGTTTTTATGGCACCCACATGTAATAAGTATTGTCATGTGTCATGGGATGACATTAGGTATTTATATACAGAAATCAAGTTCTGAAATAAAATGTTCGATTAAATATTTGTACAACACTTTGGTATTTCTATGAAGATTGTAATTAACAATTAGAAAATAATTAATTTCATCTATAATAATATGAAACTTATATAATAAATAAAGTATATAACACTTCAAAACATCAACGCTAGTTCGAGCAGAATGCGAAAAACAATGGACACAACTGGCACATGTGCCCTATAAAGAACTCAGTACATCTTTCTTGACAAGGCGGTTACTCTGGTGAAACTGGTTCATACAGCCCCTGTTGAGTACATACAAGAGTAGCTAAGCACAAAGTGACCCTCAGGAAAGAAGAACGTAACGTTACTGTACAAGCTAATCCATGCCATGAGCACATTCTTTGAAATGTCAGTAAAACGCACTACCTAAATCTAACTAAATTACATAACAAGGTAACCTCAACGTAGTCCAAACAAATCGTTTCAAACAGCAGATACATAGGTGCAACTTTCTTACAGTTGGTTCTCTGTTAAAGAATAAATTCTTGGCCATTATGAAGCCCCTTCTCTAAGAGGCACCGCTGGACGAGTGCAAAGAAAAAATATCAATCTATTAAGTTGATTATCCAAATAACCTGACGTTAACTTCTGTTTCAGCTGTCTTGATTCAGTCGGTTTCCTGTAGCCTGGTTGTTATACTGTTGTTTAGAAATATTGAACAGATGTCAAAAAATACTGTTCAATTTAAACGACATTTTCATCCTAACTTAAAGTCATACAATCACAATCGCGATGGATGTTCAAGACAAGGGAATAAGGTCACATGTTCACAAACCCACAGATCTTGGTTGCCAGAACAACCATGCCAAGAATTATTTTATCATATTATATACCGTATTGATACAGTTTGTGATTAGATAATAACAAAATATTAGTCATATTATTATTATTTATGCTTCTGCAACAATCTTTAATTCTATGAATTTTTTTATTTGCTCTTGGTAACTTGAGTAGTAGGTACCGGTACCATGTCTTTATACCCAGAGAAATTCTAGGAAGCAGAGACCGCTGCAATTGTATGTATATTTACAAGTGCTCTAGCCCCGTTAAAGCAACTACCACTTTAATGTGTGGTTTCAATGAAAAAAAATGTGATTGGGAAGGTGCCCTTCTTGACTGTGAGATTAAGGGCAGCTTCTCACCTCCATATCGAGCAAGGGCAAATGGGCACTTTCAATTTGTTTGTGTGAATGGATTCACTCATTCATGACATCCTCTGCAAAACGTAGATTTGGCTAAATTGGGTCCTAGAATCCATGCGACTGTGAAAACTCAACGTTCTTGATGCACATGCGACTTAGTGACATCATTACGTTCTACGCCCTACCGTTGTTGTGCGATCGAAGGCTCCCTAGTGTTAGACTTATACAGTGCAGAATGCTGGCGATTAGATGCGCTTAACATTCATTTACCATTAAATATTAATTTTTACTTTGCACACTTGCAACATTTTATTTATCACTACAATTTTATCTATATTTTTCCCTCCACCTAGATGCAATTTTTCACCCTCATCTGAAGAACTTTTTAAAATAAACTTGCTGTTGCATAAAAAAAACTGTGTATTTGTATAACTATTGGTTTCTTTTTTGTTTAGTGACTTAGAAAACTTGACAGATCTTTGCCTATCTTTACTTTATCAGGAGAATCAAACTGAAAATAAAGTCACAAACTGTAATTGTCTTTCTTCACTATAATACTCCAAGTAGTATGAAATTCCTGTTTCACGGTGGCAAGGCTTCGTAATCAACAATTAATCATCAAATTTGTGTGTGTAACATGTGCAGTTCTTATTCCCAAGACACAAACAATCTCCGGCCGGACTATAATTTATATAATATGGTATTACTTATTTTTGATTTGTGTTTCGGCGCCATGAGTATTGAATATTGGGATGGTCGGTGCCTTATCAATTTAATGAGTAATTGATTCATTGAGTTTTTAATATTTCTTTATTAATTTTCTTATACTGAGTACTGGTTCTGGTAGTCATTGGCCTAATGTTGGCATTGATATATTTCTTTAAAATTACTTTGAAAGTGAATACCACATTGCAACAATTAAGTCCAACTCAAACAGGATGGTACGACGCAGACTCGATTTGATGTTACGTTGGGTGTGTGCGAGTTAACAATACGTCTGCATCATAGACAGTCGCATCACAGAATATTAAATTCTCACAACCATCTAAAGATTGTGTAAGATATCATCACGTCGAGCCGCAATGTACGACGCTGTCCGAGCTGGCTTTTTCAAAACAATGCAATACTTTTTAAAATAACAGAAACAATATGGGAACCTGAAGAAGTTACCTACCTATCAACAAACAGGGGATAATGCTACCTTTCCCACCTCCACTGACGTATATATAGCAAATATATAGAATATGACAATCTAAAAAATTCATGATTCTTAGGTTGAATATAAGGTTAAATATGTTTAATAAAATGTAATTTTTTTAAATTTAAATTTAAAAATTTCACTACACCAAGCAATAGGTGAAACTTAAAATGAATGTTATAAAACCTCATACGACCTAACATGAAACTGACAGATTTGAGGTCAATCTAATGAAAGATATTATCTGAAATAAAACTGACACATCAGGTCGATACATATGCAAATTATGAACTAAATATAGAGTAATTATAACAAAATATTCGCAGCTAAGGAAATGACCGCTCTGACTCAAAGAGATTTGGGGTAAATTTTCCAAACCCTTAACTGTACTATTTTCAGAGTGATTGACCAGTGAATTCCAAGTGCATATCCTACATATTGGTTTTATTATGATTTAATTAACAAATACTTACAGTATGCTTTAAATTTTGGGGTAAATTTTGATTGGGGCCAAAAGGTGATGAGGTAAAATATAGGTAATGGGTGATTAGTATGGATTTATCTAGATTAGTCACTCCCTACAAGTTGGGGCAGGTGAAAATTTGTTTTATTGATGATACCACTACAAAAATGGCTATAAAAAGCACTGCAGGCAATTTAGTACATTCATTTGTGAACGGCTCTGGCAAAACCAGCCGTTTGTAGGAAAAATTCAAAATTGAATTTTTGGTGCTTTTAGATTCTGCATGAAGTCTTTTTTTAAAACAGTGCTTATCTGATGGAAATCGGTTAAGTATTAGCAAAGTTATGAATATTTAATTAATTGAAGGTTTGACAAAACAGCTTCCAAAGATTCCAAAATGAAAAGTTTATTATTATAAGATTCGTATTTCAAAAATAATTTTAATATACTCTTCAGTTAGATTTAGCGATTGATATTTTGCAGAAATGTACTTTAATATATCTTCTTTTATAAAATGAAAAAACATGAAAATGTTAAAAATTCTGATTCTAGAATGTTTTGGGTGCTTGTGGAAAATTAGAAATTGTGACAAACGAAGGGTTTTGGCAGAGCTGGTCACATTTTGTAGAATACAGAGTATATTCAACTCTTGTCGTATGCATGAGCTTATGCAGTCACAAAGAAATGCCTGACTTTTAACTATATTTTACAACAGCGGGCAGGACCGTGACAAAACATTTTTTTGTGTGAACTTCACGCAGGACACTGGGTATGTCTGAGACGTACCCCTAACATGTTGGCGAATCATATTTTTATCACTATAGACCTAGGCATATAGTAATAGGTGTAAATTTTTTTTCTATTTTGCATTTTCAATTTATTATTATATTTTTGTGGTAGTATATCAAAGATGATTATTTTCACAATTAGATTGAGTTGATTTAGGTTTACATAATATTTAGGTTTTTTTTTGGTTTTGCTAATCTTTTCTTTCGACTGCCAAGCAAAGCTGTAAAAATGCATGTGCAATATTATATAATCATTATGCCCTAGGTTAAACTTTGTCAAAGTTTAAACATGAGGCTTTTAACTTAGTTAATTGATGGTATACATTAATTGAATTTTTACTAAATTGATTGAAAGCATGTTACTAAATTTCATCTCCATTGTGGTTACTGATTCATATACATGGCTATTAGATGACTTATTAACTTTATGGTTTGAATCTTGCATGGTATTCATAACAATTAAACGTGACACTGAGAAGGCACAAGTTGATAAATATATTATTAATTGATATCATATGAATTAATTATATTCAACATGCAATCATCGGGTGGACAGTTAACAGAAAGATTGATTCATCAATAAGGAAACACTTTTTGAGTTAAACTCGTCAGGGTTAAATATGAAAAGTATGTCTCGTGACTAAAATACTACCTAAAGCAAATAGCTAATTGTACTAGTGGCTAAGATGCGTATTTTTCAATCCCCAGGGTCTGGGTTCAATCATGGAAAAACTCAGTCTAAACCAAAGAGCTAGTGCCAATCTATTGGCAGAAAGGGTATGAATTTGTTTCAAGAAATGCAGGTATAAGTCTGTGGTCATGTGGGTAAGATGCCTGCCTTTGAATCCTGAGTTTATTGGTTCATTTGTTTCTTTCTGCACTCAGAAGTATAAATAGGTACTCGGTAAGATGTTGTGGCATTCGTCTAGCCAATATTAAGCCGGGCACTCACTACAGCCGACAGTTGTCGGCCGACTCAATTCAAAGGAGAATTTGTCGCCAATGTGTGGGTTAAAAACCCTATAATTGCGAACCCGCCTACTACCTTTAGCTAGTAAATCCCTTGTTGTTATGGCCAACACCAATCGTCTGTAAAATTCATATAAAGACACAGGGGTCCCAAGTTGGAAGAACTAATTTCCGGGAGATTTGTTTACATTAGGGGAGCTATATATTCTATGAAGAAAAAGTGTAGGTACCAAACGAAGGGCCACGCCCACCTCAGGCCCACTATGATTTGTTAGAATAGGCACTTTTGAAGCCCAGAAATGGCACTGTCAGACTGCAAAAAATAATCGGCAACCAAAGTTTAGGCCTAAATAAAACAAAAAGATTTGTTTTTTACTGAATTTGCAGGAGATAAGTGAATTTCCGGGAGATTTTTACTTTGTTAGCGGCCGTGCAGGAAACCATACCGATTTCCGGGAGACTCCTGGGAGTTCCGGGAGACTTGGGACCCCTGAAGACATGAGCATAAAGCAGTATACAAGTAGAGTATACGATTAAAAGCATGGTGGAAATATCAAATGTTTACCATAAGCACCTGAGCTTGTGTACGGCCGGCTCTCAGTTTTGGAATACAAATTTCTGTTCGGCCTGATGCGCCATTTTTATGTCTTCCCCACTTCACAGTATTTCGCACTTTTTAAGTGTATCAACATTACCATAGCACCTGAATGTGCTCTGATACATTTTTTTTATTGTGAAAGGCACTAAAAACACATTTTTTTAATTACAGTATAATGTAGGTTCACATAATTTTTAAGTTACTGTTTCACAGGAATGGAAAAACAAAATTAAACCGTAAAAAGCAAAGCGGTTTGGCCTACATCAACAATAATTGTTTCTGAAATTTATCGCCTGCATTTAGAATGAATTTGTGACATCAAATGTTTGAAATAAGCAGAAATCAATTATAACCCAATGCTTACGCTGTCCATTCCCTACGTCCAATCAATTAGTGAATAACGCAATAATGAATGCACTGAATATATGAACAGGAAGATGTCCTAAGAGCAAGATCTTCGTGAATGTGGCATAAAAGAGGAAGTAGCTAAATATAGTCCGAGTCAGCAGCGCAGGAGGTAATTTCCCTTCACGAGACTTGCGTGCATATGTGGTTGCAATGCGGTTGGGAGAAATCGGAGCAACTCGTGGTTCAACAATTAAGTTCAGAAATAAATCAACTGGCTTAAAATAGCATTAGCAAATGCATGAAAGCTTGCTACAATTAGGAATTTTTATTCAGATTAAGTTTTTCTGACCTTTCATGCAGCATTTGTAACCTATACGGGAAAAGGCGCTTTATAACGGTCATTGTTATTATCATTTAATAAAATAAATAATAAAAAATAAATTAATAAAAAATAATGATAAAAAAAGTAGTGCCACTCCTCAAGCTGCAATGTTATTATCATTAGTTTTACTTAAACATATTTTTTACATCATTTTTAAAGATGTTTATTGGCTTATTATGGGGCCATGGCCCATAACTTTCATCATTTCTAAACTCTTTAGAGGGGAAGGAGATAAAATTGTAAACATACAGCATGTACACTTTCATGAAAACAATAAATTGATGACCTCAAAATGACAAAAATCATGATTATATTGTGTACTTTTTCAGGGAGTGGAAAGGGGTTATAGAAAAGTGTATGTCGTGTACTCTTATAATATTAGGTTAATTTTTTGTCATACAGTTTCAAATTGGTTGAATTGCTTGTAACCAGTGAAATCTAACTTTCAATTCTTATTGGAAGTTATTAACATAATCTTTTTACATAAGGAAAATTTTCAAACTTATAATTTATTATTTTGGACGAGTCGAGTGGCCAAGCAGTAAGGCAGGGGTGCCACTAGCTACAGCCTTAACATCAGTGCTGGTTCCAGTCGCTCTTGCCAATAGTTCGGTTGGTAAAGCCAGGTCTTCTCTTATAAGGACTTAAAATGGAGGTCCGGTGTATACATCTAGCTTGTGTGCACTTTAAAGAACCCATTGCATCTTTCGGAAGAGTAGGGCGTTACTCCTGATGTTATGGTTCATTTTAGCCTCTGTCGTGGAATGATGTGAACATGTATCTACCATAAAGCGCCTATTTACGGCTGGTAGATAGTCACAGACCACGCCCATAAACAATTCAGCACAATGACGCTGTAAATTATGGCTTATTCTCCTGCCTTTACCGTTACTCTGTTAGTAATATACGGATGTATATCATAAATTTCAATCAACAAGTTAGTTTTTTAAAAATTTTTTTTGATTATCTGCAAACATTTAGCAAGTGTGAAAAAAGGTCGTCCGCAAATGTCACTGATAATAAAACTTGAGTCGTTTTTAATTTCCTTGTACATTAACACACATTACTTTCCTCTTCAGCTCAGGTGATAAAAATAGACACAATAATATAGGTACTACTAACATTATACATTAAAGGATTATCTAGGGTTAGCAGATTGCTGCATGTACAATTTTTCTCTGAAGAAAAATAATTTTTAATACTGCACTCGCAGTAGGACCTATGTTTTTCATCTGAGGTGAGCAGATTGGATACATCATTGCAAGACGACTTGATAAAAGGAAAAAAGCATTCACAACACAGCGCGAGCAGTAATTAATGTTGCTTTTTTGATCAACAAAACAAAAATTCATTAAAATATTTATGTTTTTATAAATTTCTTTATTCAGAACGGTTCTCTCAATGTGAAGACGTACTTGGTCTAGATTAAATGACATTTACATGTAATTTAAGTTTATAGAAACTGTGCTTTCTACTATCTTTTACTACAATAATGAAAGTGAATACTAATCGACTACAGTTCTATGCAAACATTATGGAAACGCTAACATTTTTACGGTTGATAATCAGCGAGAAAATATATTTACATGCTAATTTTCAATTCATACTGAAATATATAGAGCAAGAAATTCAGATACTGAATTATATTAAAGTTTATTTGAATACACAAAAAATATGAACATTTTTTTTCCAGTTACAGAAAATTCACGTATCATTTTTTTTTTTATTAGAAATGTAAGTGCAATAACTCTTTTAATGCAGAACATATTCATGGGAAATGTTTTTGCAACCATATTATTAAAACAAACCAAAAACTTCCACCATATATTGAACTCCAGAAGTCTGAGTGATAGTGTCGATAATTAGACCTGTCAAGAGCTGTCAATCACTGTGCTATCACTTTGTTATACTAAGTATCATTAATTTGCCCTTTTAATGGCTCCCCGGCCCCCTCCTGGAAGTGGTATTGAACCCTTTTGAATAAAAATTACCTGTTCGTGCGCAAGTCCCAGATTTTAATGCCATCCGTGATGGCTGCAGTCGCAAACAAATCGTAAGCTGATGAAGGATGAGTGACATACGCTGACCCCTTCAAATATAAAAACATTAAAAATAATTGTTAAAAAGGGAAATAGTAGATTTGCATGTTTTCACTTATATAGATTCAGGTACATATATTATATATTTAAAATATCTCTTGTCAGTTCAAATGATGATGAGGGCATATCATGTAGTTCTCAGGTGAGTACTTCAGATTAATGCTGTTATGTACTTTCAAATAGACTGAAGAAATTTGCTTCTCATTGTAAACAAATTCACCAAAAACCATTGGAGATTTGTTTATTTTTTTTAGCTTAATATATATCTGGTTTCTCTTGGGCTTGTGTACTGCTAGTAATATTTTATTGGTATTAGAATTGTAATTATTTGACTTTGGATTATTGAAATGGTGAGGCTGATGGTTAGTAGGAGTGCGAAGGTAAAGGGGGTAAGTGTTGATTAAGGAGGGAGGGGGAAGGTGGTAGAAATAAGTTGATAAGAGGCTAAGTAACTCCCTGAACGTAAACTCAAATCAAAATAACCTTTACACTAGTTACTAAGTGCAAGCTCAGTAGTCTAGTGGTTATGGCACCCATCTAGTTTCTCGAATTCATGAGTTCAATTCCCACCCAAATCACTTGGACATTTTTTTCGCATGTATTTGGGAACATACTGAGTATTTGGTAAGTTAACATATCAGGTAGGGCAAAACATCAATCCTATGATATGAGGCTACTTGAGAGTAAATTTGCTCTCTGGAAATTATCATTGGGAGCAGGCTTTCTATGGGGGGGGGGGCCTTGCACCCTCACACACCCCTCTTACATATGCCACTGATACAGGGAGACAGCCTTAATCAACTGAAATATGTTTAGAATATGAACATCAGTAATTTTCAACAAACTTTTACCAAGCCATTACCCTTTGCATTCTAGGTTCATAATGACAATGTTGGTTGAGACAAATTGGCATAAAGTGAAAAATCTGGTTATAAACTGCTCTTATAATTTATAAAAAAGGTCTTTTAAAAACCACACAAACAAAATATGAAATGCTTTTTGATATTAATTGTGACATATGTGTTCTTATCAGGAAAGAATATTAAGTGAAGCTAATACATACAGAGTGGCTTTAACCTACATGTAAATGAACATTTAACAGCATAATTTATCTTGGTATTGAATGAGAAATAGAGATGATGAAATTTTGATGACATTGATGATGTATTAAAACTGTATGTTCCTAGACAAATTACCAGACAGATAATGATAAACTGTCTGTCTGTGGTAAATATAAGGAATGCCCTAAAACATTATTGTGCTCATTTGAAATAATGAAATATCCTGTCAACTTTCAATGAGACGAAATTTTGAATACAATTTTACATTTCTATTTTTCACTAAAGCTGCAATCACACTGGACATAAAAACACGAGAGATCTTACCCATACCGTAACTTTCCAATAGGTATATCTTACCGCTGTCCGCACTAGATTTTTTTATTCAGTTTTACTGCAAGGAATGGTAAAATTATTGAGGATGCTAATCTGTGACATCATCCATTTGCATTGGACTTAATTCTCGGCTATGTAAAACTAACCTGATCAGCTGTTTTACTGGGCACAATCAATTCAGTTAAACTAACCGCTCACCTTAGTATGTTTTCCTGAGATGAGTTACTTGGGCTGTTTGCACGGACTAACCATGGTAAAACAAAACCAGCATCTTGGTTAGTTTTACAGAAAAATGTCCAGTGCGATTGCGACTAAATTCACTTCAGTTTTTCAATCAATCAATGGATTTATAAGGCGCATAATACAGCAGTCTCTATGCGCCAATAAAAAAGACCAATGAAAGTGAAGCAAGCAAGTGAAGTGGGTGCGAGACCAGGTGCCGTTAGGGAAGAGTCAGTGTGCCGTTCTTCCGCACTTTTTTTTCTTTTTTTAATAGAGAACTCCTTAAATTGAGGGATTACAAGGTGCAAAGAAGACACAATATTTATTTTATATTTGTTTTGTTTATATTTTTAATTGAAAGCAAACTATTTCAAGTAAGAAATTTAAATATTTTAAGTTTATTCTACTTTATTCTAAAATTGGCACTGTAAAAGTCCTGAACTAGTTCAATATTTCTTTTTTTATATTTATGTATCTATTCAGGTATACGGTAAAAAGTATAAAAAGTATAAAAAGCAGAACAAGTCTAAAATTATTGCAGTACAAAAATTCTAGAAAACGAAATACATACACCAAATCCATTCAAACAAACACAAAAATGCAAACAACTTCTGAATTGATAAACATAAACAAATTAGAAATATACAATTCATTTGGTACAAATAAAATTTTAAAATACAAATTAATTAAACATCTTAAAAAATATATCCCTACAGTATCAAAATATAGCAATATGTCTAAAGTCTCTGATAGTGGTAGTCTTCTTCCAACAAAAACTTGTGTCAACTTTCTCTCAGATCTATTCAGTTCACTTCATCGGGAGTGCACATTTCCCTTCTCTTTCGTGTTCGCGGTTTGTTTTTTGCCAATTTTAATTTTTTCAATCTGACTTCGGGTCCGTATACTGTCAGCGTCTTGAGACGATTTTATTGTGGAAGGCGCTCCACAAATATCCTACAGTATCTTACCATTACCATTACTTATTTTTTATTTGTTTATTACAAAGTTTGGCATGAGACCTTCAATATTCTAACACGACATAACCATTTCCAGGTGATTGGTTTGAGTTTGCTGCCCACACAGAAACCAATCATTTTAATAAAATCTAATCTGAAAGACCGTCTGCTCTACTGGAATTGCAAAAAATTGAGAGGAAGGTTTCTAACAACTGATTAAAGCATTTAATGAAATAAGTAAAAAATACTCATTAAATTATTTATGAGATAAGGAAAGTTGAGAAAGAATTATTGAGGAAATGTTGAAAAAATTCAAGCTATGAACGTTGTAATGTTCTCAATGAACAAATAAGGAAATTGAACTCTGACACTAAAAAACATTGCCTTCAATTACAAAATGTTAGTTCTCCCCACATTGATATATGGTGCAGTCCTCTAGGCTACCACAAGTTTAACAAAAAAATACAATACAGGCTCTCTGTGCTGTTTAATAAGATATAAAAATAAATAAATCTCCTATTAATAGAAAAAATATAGTTAAAAAAAGAATGCTTCAAAAAAGTGTCAGTACGTCCCAAAATACTTGTAAAAAAAAAATGATATGTGATTCAGGTAGGAATTGAATCCATGACCTCCTGGTATTCAGTCTGGTGTCAGAACCACTTGACAGTACCACAAAGTGTTCATTAGTAGATAGTGTTAAATTTTATCCCAATGTAGTATTGGCAATGGTATTTTAGTAAAGTATTTGAAGATGACAAGTATTCATTACGATACCACATCAGTTTGTCTAAAACGTCATTCCTATTGAGATTCCTGACGCAATCGGATTCCTGACGCAATCATCTATCTCTCAAAATTAAACCATACTACAAAAATTGACATTCAATGAAAACAGAAGTGAAGGGTTGGTTACAAATGCTTGTAAGCTGATTGGTTGATGACGAACATGTGATTATAAAAAGAATTGATAGGATCCTGATGTACTTTGTATATCCAGTACTAATACATAAGCAATTATGTGATTAATGTGTCTAGGGAGATGAATTTGTCAAAATTTAATTTGAATAGTAAGACCATCATCATGTTACTCCAAACTACATTCATAAGTTCAACACAAATGTCTTGGTTTTTTTTTTCTAACTTGAAAAAAATCATGTAGAGGTAATCAGATTATCATATGGGAAGTCAAACCATTACTTAAATGCAGTGACCAGGAACAATTTTACACTGTTACAGTCTGTCAATAGATAGAAGACACTAGCCATGTGTTCAGCAAGTCAAGTAGGTTTATAAACTAAAGCCAAGCACAGCACTAACAGCATCGTACGGCAGGCTTCGAATCCAACTCCACACACTGTGCAAAGCTGTGTGTTTGTACCATACAAGATGACTGCCGTAGATTCAGCCAATCATAATACGCTAAGCAACATTTCAATGGCGCCCTCGACTTAATTTTTAAAGTTTTGAATACAGCTCTGTTGAAACTCGAACGTTGCAATATTAGCTACATGATTTTGATTTTACTATGGTTGATTCACAGTCATGCAACGAAAATATTTCTGACCAATTAGCAAAGTATAACTAATAATTAAGTAAAGGATAAGAAAATTTACAAAAAAATTTGCATGACGTATACTCTTAAATTACAAAATTGTTTCATGAAATACAACTACTAAAACCTTCGAGATTACAATTTAATAAAAATAATGAAATTGACATATTTTGGTGATTTTTTCTAATATGACCTCAATATTATGAAGTAACTCATTTTGCCGGGAGACCACCCATTATCAAACTACCAGTATTCTTAAAATTCATTAATTCAATAATTTGATAACTTACTTGATTCTGCTTGACAACATGCACTGTGCGCTCATGTGCGTTGTTCGTCACACGTACACTCTTGCCGACATTCATATCAAACACTTCTAAAGACTTGTCCGACCCTGCACAAAGAATTATATCTAAGCAAGCAGTTAAGGACACTCAATTTCACAATGTGTTCCATTTTTAATCATCTATACATGCTACTAAAAAGTTATAATAATTTGTACGTATTGTTTAAAGGTTTGCATGTTGTAGTAATAACATATATTAATGCTTGCGGTACACCATGTAGATAATTCTCAACCAACAACAATAGTTCTTATCAGAACTATCTACGTGGCGTACCGCAAGCATATATTGTATATAAATACATAAAGGTGGAAGTCTTGGTAATAATATTGCCTGCATTTCTAAAGTTTATTATTCATTTATTTATTTAGTATGTAACAAAAGATATACAAATGGCAGCAAACGTTTTACGGTATATGAACACAAATACTAAGAGGTGCAGACAGGGCATGGTGTTCCCCTTACTAGGTCCACCATTTAAATTATGTCTTTATTCTAATTTCATTCAATCTATACAAAATTATATTTGAACTTTGGTAACCAGATGAAACATATCAAAAGAATGTATGACACAAGGTCTTCTTACAAGAATCTGTTGCTCATTTACTGTACTTTAAATTTGTCTCCAACTCACAAACAGACAAAATTGAATATAATTAAAGGAGATAAAACTGGCAACCATCGGTAAGTCTCTTGATGATTAAGATTCTTTGAATGGGACCTACTGGGTTCATTATGCCAAAAATGATTATGATTAAAGGAAGGAACATAGACTCTGCTAAGAAATTAAGTATAATATTTGCTATGTAAAATATCAGCTACAAGCTTTAATTAGTATTGAATTGAATTAAATTTATTTATTAATAAGACTTGGATATAACCCACGGAAGTCAACATGACTAATTTCCAGCTGGGTTCCTTCAAATACTGGGGCAGATACAGGATTTGGCCAATGCTGTGAAAGTCCTCATCTACCTTAGGCCCAACAATAGTTGAGTTGAGACATACGGTAAGCCTACTTTTAGGTCCACCATGGATATAGGGTTACCATATTTAATTAATATGGCTCCTCTAGATACCCAGAAATGGTAATAATATTTCTTTTTAAATCAATTTTGACTTAATGGTGGGATAAAATTTATTTGACAATAACATTTTCAAAATTAACAAATAAATAAACAATATATATTTTTGCACTCTCTCTTGGCCAGGAAATTAAAATACCAAAAGGACATAGAAATATATATAACTGAATATAAATGTCTTCTAGATGCCTAGAAATGGCACTTATGTTATCAAAATGTGTTTTAGTTTGGATTTATGATGTGATTAAATTTATTTGATATCATCATTTTGATAATCAAACAAATAAATGATTTGAACAAGAATAAAAGGTTTGCATCCCATCTTGGATCTTTCCCTAGAAAATAAAATAAAAATACCAAAAGAACATAGAAAAATATACATATACCTGAATCTGAATGTCTAGAGAATTTCAAAAATCAATTTAAAAAAAAGAAAATGAAATCAAAACACATTGACTCTGCCTTAAATCATTTGTTCCATTAAAAAATTCTTATAATTTACTTATTTTATAATAGTACAGATCCTAAACAAAATAGTCTTCAGTTTCTTATGTTATCTGACCACTTCTTATATTCTATAAATTTCTTCACTCTAAAACCAATTAAATAAGCTCTTTATACAAATCCCTAAATTGTTTGAGCTTCCGGAAACATTTCCTCTTTGAACCCCTCTGAGAGTTTCTAGGTGGCCAGAGACCCCACCCACTTTCACTGTCGCTGGGGACATTGGCTTTTCCGTCAGGGACTTTGGCCTAATTACATTAGTCTGTGTGCTGCCCTCTAGCATGAAGGGAGAGATGAATTAAATGGGACAGCATTTGCCAGCAGTAGGTCTGCGGAAGCAATTTTTCACAGGGATTATTTCACCATGGTTGACATCTTGCATGTTAGGTAGTGGCTAGTGACGCCTGAATAATTATACAGATCATGAATTTTGTAGCGAGTTTCAAATTAAATTTACGGTATATAGGACAGGCAGGACATTAGGTCCAGTAATTTGATTCTTTTATCTACTAGCATTGACATATATAAGAAAATTTGCTATTAGGAAATAATATCAATTAGCCTTTAGACAACTTGTTTACTTCAAAGTCAAATGGTTTTTGGCAGAATTTATGATATTTAGGATATTAATATACAGTATCTTTATCATTGATTCCAAGTCTCACTTTCCATTTCAAGAATTTAGGATTTTAGCAATTGGTGTGAGGAAGGCCAAATCTCCAATCTGACATTGAAACTTTCATATGTACAATCACTAACAAATGTAGATATGTTTGATTGACTTTAAACACTACTTGCATTTTGTAGCATTGGCAATAACATTTTTACGACTCCAAATTGGGAATTATTTCAGTATTGGCAAGACACTTTAATATGTCTATGGGGGAAATCATGAATTGGGTGTTTTGAGGTGCTGTCGGGCATTGGGTTAGACCATAAAACCTTGCACACCACTAGATCCTAAATTCCATTAAATAATTATCCAAGTTGGCCGTTTCTATTTCTTTTTTTTGCAATGATACTAAATTGTTGGTAATGCGTGTGTGTTATAACACACCTAAATATATCCTTGCCATTTGATTGGTGGATTTAGTATCACATGATATTCGTTATTTACCACATTTCGTCACTCATCATGAAAATTCAGTTTCACCATGCATATTTATTTCCATCCCTGCATTTTCGTTCCATCCGTTTTGCCGCACTGCACAGGGCCTAGGATACGATATGACTTCAACATAATACAATCTTTTGAATTAAAAAGGTGATGGACAGTTCCATTTAGAAAAAAAGTAGATTTTTTTCATAATATAATAATAATATGCAGAATTTTATAACGCGCCAATTCAAAAAACATTATCAAAGGCGCAGATGACAAAAATATCAAATGACAAGAATCTCCATTCAGAAAAAAATTAGATTTTTTTTCATGAAATATCAAATGACAAGAATCTACTTTAAGTAATCAATTTTATAAAACAATAAATAATGAATGTTTTTTTATTCGTGTAATGGAAAGGATATTTTCATTCGTTGAATGGAACTCATGAAAATATTCTTCCCATTGCACTCATAAAAATTATTTTTATACTATAGCTTCATTACAACTTAGCATTGTAAATTCAAATACAAGTAATAAAGTTATTTGTTTTGCTACAGAAAATCTATGCAAAATTATTAATTCAGCGCTAAAAATCTTGATTTAGTAGATTATAATTGTGCCACATGGTGTAACAAAAGTTTATAATTAATTATTAATAGATAATAAATACAACAACTTAACAAGTTAATCCTTCGCTGTGCATTTCGCTTGTATCCTTGAGTAAGGAACTTTATCTGCATTACTTCACTCCACCTAGCAGTACAAGTGGGTACCTGAGGAGGTTAGAGTGCAACATGTGCTTATATATTTCATGCAGCAAACTATGGAATTTCCTCCCTAGGCATCGTTCCAATGACAGATAATAGTGTGGAAAAGTGCTCAGAGACTTAGTTGTGTATAGAGCTATATAAAAACGCATTATTATTATTATTACTATTATTATTATTACTAATATTACAATATTTGTGCCTGTTAATCTAAATACGGTAAATAATAATACAAATTCATTACTAAAACTTACAAATTCATCACTGTAAATTCACATATATATAGTACTTGATATTAAAATATCATAATACACTATATTGTAATATCATTTACTATACCTGGATTTGTAGGTAAATGATAATGCAATATTGTTCAAACGTCTTTATACCTTCTATGCTGTATTTATATTGCATTATCAAACTTAATAAATACTAAGCACTGTAAATTCATATTTGTATTTGTATTTCATAAGCATTAAAATACTTTTTGGGAGGTTAATATTATCTACATACAAATTTAAAACATCTTTGCCTGTGAAGATTCACTTATCTAACTTTTGTAGCCAAATTAAAAAGAGTAGTAAATTGAAATGCAATGCGTTAATACAAACTTAATATAACTGCAGTGAGTTCCAATATAGGAAATAATAACATGATATCGTTACTGAAACTTCATTAAAACTTCAGCGCTGTAAATTTGAATGCGGCAATAACGCGAGTACTAAAAGCCAACTCAGTAAAGTACCTTATTACTAATCGCCAGTAGGTGACAACTGATAATATTGTACTAAGTATTCAAGCCCTTGGGAAAAGCAACGCCTATCATCAAATAACCAAATCACTCACAAACGAAAGTGTTCTCAGAGAGCTCAACGACTGATGACAACCTGTCAAATTCAAGTAGGCACCTGGTAGGATGTCCCCCTTCAAGTAAAGGACCCATTACTACGTTGAGATAAAACCATTAGGCTCAGGGGAAATATCCCGGGGGAAACAATGGAGGAGGTGATACTACACAACAGCAAGATAGCAGAGGAGGTAACAAGCTTAAAGTGTTGTTTGTAAATTAAAGCAGACATCTTTTACATTGGATTGTGGGTATTTTAAGACTGATAGTGACTAAGAGAATAATTGATCTATTAATAATTAAATCAAAGAAATTTAGCAAATATATTTATACTTTTATATTATACAGGCTTTAACCCTCACTGTAATATCTTATTCAAAATAAAATAAAAATAATCATTACCCAATTATGAACAATGGATTAAATAGATTAATAACACATCATGTATTTTACATTTTCCCATAATTGCTCAATTGTTCAAGACATTGGTCAAAACAAGGTAAATAACTAATCTATTGTAATTTATTGCAATAGTGTGGAATCAATGTTTCTTATTTTTCAAACAAAGCAACAGATGATTTTGTGTGGGCCTATAATTTTAATAAAGGGGTCTGCCTGTCTTGTTTTGCTATAAAGAAAGAGTATATTTTTGCCAACACTTACTTGTGGGAATAAAAACTTCAGGAATGATATAGTAATTAATAAATATTATGAATAAACAAATAAATTAATGACTGATACAAGACAGAAAAGTTTATACAAG